CGCTCAGCCCCCAATGTGCTGTCTGGCCTACAGGGACAAAGAACTCCACTGCTGCTGCTTCTGCTGCTGCTCCTCTTGCTGCTGCTGCTGCTGCTGCTGGGGCGGCAGTCGCAGTTTGCTGCTGCTTCTCCCTCCCCCTACAAGACAGCCCCACTAGCGGAGCTGCAGCAGCTTCCCGCAGCAGGCCGTTGCAGCTGCTGCCGCTGCAGGGGGCCCCATACCTCAGGTGTACAGGCAGCTGCACCATCACTTCGTGAGTGCTTCCGGGGGCCCCCCCTTCTAGCATTTTCGGGTGTATGTGCACCTCCTGCCGTACAACAGGAGGGGGCCCCAGCCTCGGGGAGTAGCTAGGGAGCTCTACATCAACCATCACGGGGCCCTGCATGCAGGAGCCCCCTTGGGGGGCCCCCCGGGGGCCCCCTTGGCAAGAGGGTTTGAATATAGTGGTGGCTTGAAGCAGAAGGGGGCCCCCGGGGGCCCCCGTACTTATTACCCTGCCGTGCCTGTCTGGGGCCCCCAACTCGTATGTTTGATCGGGGTCAGCGAAGAGCTGCTGCGGCAGACGATACTCAAGCGAAAGAAGACACTCCTCAGCTGCATCCTTCTCTCCTGCTGCTGCTGATGCTGCTGTTCTTGCATTAGGCTGCTGCTGCAGCAAAATGCGAGACTCGAAGACGCGGTGGAAGCCCTTGCCCTCGAGCCTTGTTGAGGCCTTCACAAGAGACAGAGATACGTCAGTGCTGCTGCTGCTGCTGCTGTTGCTGTTGCGGCTGCTGCTGCCGTAGATGCTGGCTGGTGTGTGCAGCAGCAGCAGCAGCAGCAAGAGTGGGCGAATATGTCTGGGCATCGCTGAACTGGCAGCTAGGGCCCCTTTCTCCTGTCTAAGTTGCTGCTGTTTCTGCTGCTTTGGGGGCCCTGCAGCGGCAGTCGTACAGAAAGACACAGCAGCAAAGGGGGCCCCCCTGCAGCAGCTGAGGGTAGCTGGCTGCTGCTGCTACCTCAACGCTGCAGCAGCAGAGAGAAATTGAATTTGTTTTATTTAGTTAAATTAGAGGCTGAAACAATATTGCAATAGGAGCACCTTTTGTGGTAGCAGCAGCTGCTGCAGCAGCGCCTACAGACAGGCTGCTGCTGCTGCTGCTGCTGCTGCTGCTCCGAAGCCTAAGGTGGGGGGCCCCTGAGGGCCTCATCAGAGGGGCCCCTGTGGGCCCCCCTCCAGCCAGCCTTGCCTTCTGTTTAAACTAAACTAGAAGTAATTTTTCTCTTAGTGTTTTATGCAGCAGCCTTTCTGCTGATGCGGTGGGGGGCCCCCAGCTGTACAGTAGGGGCCCCTACAACGATCAGGCTTGCTGCTCCTTTGCTGCAGGGGCCGTCTTCTGCCTTCTTAGCAGCCGCAGCAACAAAGCCCTAGCTGCTGCAGGTGCTGCAGGTGCTGCAGGTGCTGTAGCTGCTGCTGCTGCTGTAGCTGCTGCAGGCTCAAGAGCAGTGCCGCAGCAGCACCCACGTAGGATACAGACATTGAAGTCGTTGCCGCTGCTGTTGCAGCAGCTGCAGCAGCTGCAGCAGCTGCTGCAGCATGCATGCGCAGCAGCAGATGAGCCGCCTACGTCTGCTCAGGGGTGAAGTTTCTTGCTGCTCTATGGGGGCCCCCTTGTATAGGGGCCCCCATCACAGGCCAGTGGGGCCCCTCCTAAGGGCCCTCTCTCTCAGCAGCGGGGGGGCCCCCTGTCTTCGCTGGAAGTCTTCATTTGTTCACGTTGTATCCAGCAGCAGCCGCTGCTGCAGCTGCTGCTGCTGCAGCAACAGCAACAGCAACAGCAGCAATAGAAGCACCACCAGCAGCAGCAGCAAGGTAACTTATGGGCGTTCGTTTTTTCGTCGTTTCACTTCAGCAGCAGATACTGCTGCTGCAGGTGCTGCTGCTGCAGGTGCTGCTGCTGCAGCTGCTGCTGCAGTCCCTGTGACACCCCCGAGGCTACGGCTTCAGGGTCCCCCCCCTTCTCCGCGGCTGCAGGTGCTGCAGCGTCTGCAGCGACTTGTTCAGCAGCAGCTGCAACTGCAGCAGCAGCAGCAGCAGCAAGGTGCACGGAGTGGAGATGCAAGAGCTCAGTCTATTGTAGGACCTCTATCAAGTGGCGGGGTGTCTGATGAGGTAGCAGACGCAGCAGAAGACGTGTGGGGCCCCACAGGGGCCCCGTGCGAAGCAGCAGATGCTGCAGCCACTTGGGGTCACGAAGGAGACGCTCCTGCTGCTGCTACTGCAGGAGCTGCTGCCCAGGCGCAGCAGCAGCAGCAGCAACAACAGCTGCAGCAGGAGCTGCAGCGAACAGCAGATGATATCGTCAGGCTCAGCGGGCGCATGCAGCCACGGGAGCTTCTTGAAGTGCTGCGGCTGTTTGCTGCTGTGGGGCGGAGGGACCCTCAAGTGCTGCTTGCTGCTACCCAGGCTTTGCTGCAGCAGCAGCCCGAGGAGCGGCTGCAGCAGCTGCTGCCTGTTACGCAGCAGCAGCAGCGGCAGCAGGGGGTTGAGGCCCTCTCCGTGCTGCAGACAGTAATGCTGCTGCGGTATCTGCAGCAGCTGCAGTTTGTCTGCTTACCTCTGGCTTTGAGGGCGCTGCAGCACTTAGACGCCTCTCTAACCCTAGCAGCACAGACGTGCATGCAGCTACATTACCTGCAGCAGCAGCAGCAGCAGCAGCAGCAGCAGCAGCAGCAACAGCAGCAGCGGCTGCCTGACTGCTTTGCTGAGACTGACTACGCAGTGCTTGCGCCTTATATTCCTTGGCAGCAGCCTGTGGTGTGCGACCAAGCAGCAACAGCAGCAGCAGCAGCAACAGCAACAACAGCAACAGCAGCACACTGCGGCGTGCATGCAGGTGGGGCTGCACCTGCTGCTGCAGCAAACGGCGATGCTGAGCTCCGTTTGCTGCCTGACGCGTCTGCTGCTGCCGCTCCTGCTGCTGCTGCAGCAGCAGCAGCAGCAGAAGGTGGTGCATTAGCCAGTGCAGCAGAAGCAGCGGCAGCATCATCAGCAGCAGCAGCAGCAACAGCAGCAGCAGATAGCGATTGGCGCTCCCGGTGCGCTCTGCATGCCGTTGGGGTGTCTCTACTCAGCAGCAGCTTAGTATATTTTGCTGCTGCTCTGCCTCCGTCAGAACCAAGGTCTGCTGCTGTTAGGCGCTTAAGCGACCTGCTGCAGCAGCTGCTGATCTCCAGAGCAAAAGAATTCAATGCGCCCCAAACTGTCTCCCTTGTATGTCGCTGCTGCTGCTGTTGCTGCTACTGACCACGCTGCTGCTGCTGTTGCTGTTGCTGCTGCTACTGACCACGCTGCTGCTGCTGTTGCTGCTGCTGCCGTTACTGTTGTATTGTCTTTGTTTGCTTTTCATTCGTTTGTCTCTGGGGTCTGTTTTGTTAATTTTTATTTAATTGCCTTTGTTATTTGTTTGTTTGTTAACTTTTTATTTATACTTTTATTTATTTATTTATTTATTTATTTATTTATTTATTTGTTCAGGCGTTGAATTGCTTGGCTTTGGGCCGCACTTCTGCTGCACTGACGAATGCTTTGCTGCAGCAAACCCCTCATTTGCTGCCTTTCTTCTCGTTTCCTTTACTTACTCTTCAATTAAATGTTATTACCCGCTTGCTGCAGCTTAATGCGCATGCGCTGCAGCAGCAGCAGCAGCACAAGCAGCAAAAGCAGCACAAACACGCTCAGTACCAGCACCCGCAGCAGAAGCAGCAGCAGCAGCAGCAGCAACAGCAGCAGCAGATAGATATACATGCACTGCCGCAGCTCTGGTGCAGCATCGTATCCCGGCTGTCTTCCGCGCTGCCGCAAGACCCAGCAGCAGCTGCTGCTGCTGCTAGCAGCAATACATCTCGTGCACGCCTTAGAGACCTGCTGCACGACCATATCTTAGCAGCACAAGAAGCATACGACGCCTCTATTCAGCAGCAACTGCAGCAACTGCAGCAGCAGCAGCAGCAGCAACGACAACAGCAGCAGGAGGCAGCAGGTGGAGATGAGATTTTCTCAGGTGCAGATGGATTAGGGGCCCCTGGGGGCCCCCGAGTGTCGTCTGTACCCTCTCTGCCTTTCGCGGGGGCCCCTGGGGGGCCCCCTGGGGGGCCCCTTGGGGGGGCCCCCAGCCTCCCACCAGTGCAGCCGCAAGACTTAAGAAATGTTGTAAACGCTCTTAACTCATTCTCTCGCTTGGCGCATATGGGTCTTGTGTCTTTGCGGGATGTTGCTGCTGAAGCAGCAGGGGCTGCTGCTGTTGCTGCTGCTGCTGCTGCTGCTGCTGCTGACCAGCTGGTGCCCGCAGCGTTGCGCCAGCAGCAGCAGCTGCTCAAGAGCCAAGCTGCTTCTGGTGCAGCAGCAGCAGCAACAACACCAGGTGCAGCTGCAGCAGGAGATGTTGACGAGCTGCAGCACTGGCAGCGCAGCAAGGCTCGCCTCAGCAGCGTCGTGGAGTGTACAGGCAGCTTCCGCATGCGTGGGGTGGAGATGACACCTGGGGATCGTCGCAGCAGCAGCAGCATTTACGCCTTCTTCCATAGAGCAGTGCTGCTGCTGGTGCAGCAGCAGCAGCATCTAGATCCGCAGTCTCTCAGCAACGCCGTCAACGCATTCGCAAAGGCCAGGCTTCAGGGGTAAGCCAGAGCAGCAGCAGCAGCAGCAGCAGAGGCAGCAGTAGCAGAGGCAACAACAGCAGCAGCAATAGCTGCAGCAGCAGAAGCAGCAGCAGCAGCAGCAGCAAGAGCAGCAGCAGCAATAGCAGCAGAAGCAGCAACAGCAGCAGCAGCAGCAGCTGTTTGTGTCCTTTGTTTGCAGGCACGCAGTCTATGTGGCTCAGTTAATCCCACGGATGATTGAGACAGCAGCCGACTTCAGCTGGCAGCACTTAAGCATGACGCTCAATGGATTTGCATGTAAGCTGCTGCTGCTGCTGCTGCTGCTGCTGATCATGATGCTGCTGCTGCTGCTGCTCATGCTGCTGCTGCTGATGGCGTTGGGTGTGATGTTTGCTGAGCCTCTGCTCTTGTGTTAGTGGCACGGGTTGGTGCTGCTGCAATACATGCAGTTGCTGCTGTTGCTGCTGCCGCTGCTGTTGCTGCTGCTGCTGCTGCTGGTGCTTTCGCGCACAACGGACATGGCGTGACAATCTTGCTGCTGCTGCTGCTGCTGCAGATATGCGCTATAAGGACGACAGGCTGCTGCATGCATTTTGGGAGGTGCTGAGGCAGCGGCCTCTTCACCAGATGGGGGGTCAGATAATCAGAAGAATTCTTCTCTAAACCCTAAACCCTAAACCCTAGACCATAGTTTAAACCCTAAACCCTAAAGCCTAAACCCTAGCATAAACCTAAACTCTAAACCCTAGCCTAAACCCTAAACACTAGGCTACACTCTAAACCCTTGCCGCAAGCCCTAAACCCCTCTCTCAAACCCTGAACCCTAGCATAAAACCGCAGACCCTAGCTCCAGACCCTAAACCCTAAACCCTATCTCTAAAAGCTTGACCCTCACAGGGGTTCAGCAGTGCGGTGTATGTACACTGCAGCTCAGGCGACAACAAACATAATCCACGCAATGGGCAGCTTCGGCTTCAGACACCCAGAGATGATCAGGTACTGCAGCAGCAGCAGCAGCAGCAGCAGCAACAGCAGCAGCAGCAACAGCGGTAGCAGTAGCGGCAACAGCTGCAGCAGCAGCAGGAATATCAACTGCAGCGGTGCCTTCAGCAGAAAGAATACTGCGGCGGCGAGAACATCAGCAGCGTCGCAGGGAGCTGCTGCTGCAGCAGGAGCATCTGCTGCTGCAGCAGCAGCAGCAGAAGCTGCTGCGGTTAGTGTTTTTCTGTTTGTTTTTGTTTGTCTTTGCAGGCGCATGGCGACGACTTCTTGGGTGTCTGCGCAGCTGCCCGAGCTGACCACTCAGGGCAAGTCCCTTTGCTGCTGCTGCTGCTGTTGTTGCTGCTGCTGCTGATGCTGGTGTTGCTTCTTTCTGCTGAGGCAGCAGCAACAGCAGCAGCAGCAGCAAAGGCCAGTATGTGTGTCTCTCTGTCTCCTCAGGCCTCACAAATCTACTCTTCTCGCTGGTGGTGCTAGACTGCGTGTACGAGTGTAGCTTCCCTCCCCAGCAGCAGCAGCAGCAGCAGCAGCAGCAGCAGAAGCGGCAGTGGCAGCAGCAAGGGGGTATCTGGCAAGAGCTGCTGCAAGCTGCATGCAGGAGAAAGGACCTCAAGCTCGAAGCAATGACGATGCTTAAGGTGTCGGCTATGGCGTTGTTTGGGGTGTATGGGGACCCAGCAGCAGCAGTAGCAGCAGCAGCAGCAGCAGAAGCAGCAGCAGCACAGCAGCACAGCAGCAGCCGCAACGCATACAACCGCCTCTACGACAGCAGCGGGAACTTCTTGCTGCATGCGCTGCAGCAGCAGCAGCGGCAGCTAGAACGTCAGCAAAAGCTGTACGGAGGGGCCCCCATAGCTAGACGCAGAATGCTGCTGCAGGGAGTAGAAACAGCAGCAGCAACTGTAAAGCAACCTGATTATATCTTCTTGCCCTACAATCAACTTGATGAAGGCCATAAGTTCCTCGTATGCTCGTGCTGCTGCTGTGGATGCTGCTGTTGTTGTTGCTGCTGCTGCTGTTGCTTCTGCTGCTGCTGCTTCTGCCGTTGTTAGTGCTGCTGCACCAGCTGTTGTTGTTGTTTCTGTTGTTGCTGCTGCTGCTGTTGCTGAAGACGGAAATTCCACTGCTTGGAGAACGCCTGATTTTATGTGTTAATCCTGCTGCTGCTTTTGCTGCTGCTGCTGCTGCTGCTGCTGCTATTCCTGCTGCTATTGCTGCTATTGCTGCTGCTGCAGGCTGCACTGCTGAACACGAGGACTTTGATGTTTTACCCGGGGAAGCCGTCAGGTAAGAGAGAGCCATAACTGCTGCTGCTGCTGCTGCTGCTGCTTCTGTTGCTGTTGTTGGTGCTCTCTTGTTGCTGGGGTTTACGGCTGCTGCTGCAGGGTTGTCTTCTGTTGCTGCTAGAGGGGAGCTTTTGCTGTCTGCTGCTGTTTGCTTTGCTGCTACTGCTACTGCTGCTACTGATGCTGCTGCGGCTGCTGCTGCTGTTACTGCTGCTGCTGCTGCTGCTGTGCTGCGGCTTCAGGCATGCACCTGCAAGTAGCCGCGACTGTGCGCAGCATGGGGCTGCATGCGCTGCACGAAGTAATAATAGGTGGGGGCCCCTCAACGAAAATTTAAAGAAAAATTAAAACAAATATTATTTACAGCACTAGCAGCAACAACAGAAGCAGACAAGGTGCACACGTGCTGCAGCTGTAGCAGCAGCAGCAGCAGGAGCAGCAGCAGCAGATGCAACCAGTTGCAGCGCTCCCCTCCTTCCCGGAGTACTAAGTACACACGCAACCTCAACAGCAGCAGTAACAGCAACTGCAGCAACATCAGCAGCAGCAGCAACTGCAGCAGCAGCAGCAGCAG